TCTGACATGAGCATATTTTTGTGCAAGATCGTTTCAAATATTTTGCTTGGCGGAACTCTTTTATATTATTACGCTTAGTACTGTTTAGTATTGGATAGATTTTGAAAATTTTCCAGATATCCGGATAAGTTTGAGTTTTTAAAATTAAATTAAAAAGAATCTCTAGGGGTCTCAGCAGAAGCTCCCTGCAAGCTTTAAAAATATAGGACGGAATATTATCTGGTCCACATGCACTGCTTATAGCACAAGAACCATGAATTACACATATCCCAGGCACAGACTGTGCATCATCAGTGTATTAGGCATTTGGCGAACAACATAAAAACAATTAGAAATTTAAAAATGTTAAAGAAAACAATTTTTAATATACTCGTAAAAATAGAACCCTACAGTTTACAAGAATTCAAGTCGAGGGAGGGGCAAGGAGGCCCACCTCAAAAAATAACCAACATTTTTGTTTTCGTTATTGTAATTATAAATTCTGCTTATTTATACATTTGCGTAATACCAGGGATAAAATGGACCGTTTGACCGATTGAGCATAAAAAACTTTCGAAAATCTTATAAATACCAATAACAAATTTTTTAATAGGCAGAAAAATAGTTACTAATCACTGACTTTTTTTTAATTAAATAAACAAATACAAATAAATGATGGCTAAAAGCCACAAAAAATATTAAAAAACTGCGGTTGGAACAAAACTGATGTTTATTTTAACACTGCGCTACAATATTAGGAATATAGTGATAATTGCTCGGTGCTAGCACGGCTAACCTCACACTGGGACTGACTACTATGGGATACAATAGAAAAACATGTGTATAAAATGTGTTTTATTAATCACGTTTATTATTATCAATCGGCAGTTCTTCACTTTTACCGTCAAAAGCAAAATTAAAGATTAGATATTAATTGGAAAAAACTTGTGCATTTCAAATATCTAAATCAGCAGTGTTCTAAACAGAACAAACAAACAAGGTTTCATACTATCTATAAGTTATACTCTATGAGAACTAAAAGAGAAATCTCTAAAATTGCCAAAAAAAAAATTCATTATCTCCTTGTTTCCCAAAAGTACGAGACAAGTTGTAAAGATTGTTAGGTTGCAAAATTAAAAATTATTTTAAAGCATGCAAGGTTGTTCAAAAAGGCCTGAATTAAGTTTTGAAATTTTTACCTGACAACTGAGTAAATAAATTCATAAAATTTATTGTGTCAATTAAAAAAATTGTATGTATATTTCTAAAGTTCAATTAATTGAGATGATTTATATACCGAAAAAGTAAATAATATTCAATACCAATTACTACACATTAACTTAAGCTTATTTTTAATTATTACTATGGCGCAATAAATGTTCAACAAAATGTCCTTCTACTTGGTTGCACTACTTGGTTAGTCTTTTTCGTACATTTTCTTGGAAGTTCCTTAGCATAAACGGTGTTATTATTATTAATCTGGTAGTGTTAAGTCTCATTTCTGTAGGTAATGATTTAAAGGTTAAAAGGTTCGCGAAACAAATATGGTGCAATAATTTTACAGTTCTACATCACATTGCTTCATTATTTTCTAGCGAAGGGATTAACGGTAGATATGGTATCACATAAGCTAACTACTTGACGGCTCCCGACCTGGGGATTCTCTTGAATTTGAAGTGAAATTTCCAATTCTTTTTCCCTTTTTATTAGCATTCCGGTTTATAACTTACCATTTTTCAAATTCAATACTACTATTACCATCAAATCGTTCCATTAAACACTGATGGGATTGTCTGGTTAGTATACGTATACAAGGGCACTTCGCCTTGGAAAGGCTTACTTCCAACTATTGATCAATTGACCACTTCTTAATTGATTAATCAAAAAATCTTTTAAATAACATCTTGCAATTGTAGAGTGATATCTATCATTATTTAATCATAACATTAATCATTTCCTCCTGGCCCCTTCTTCCGCGAACGGCCTGAATTATCCTCAAAAACTACAAGTGAAATTCACTTCTCATAAATTTTAATGTCATCGTTTTTAACCGATCGAAATCTCTTTCGTCGAAAAGAAGAATTACGTATCGTGCGTGTGCGTGTGAAGTTCTTCCCGGACCGATGCTTCAAAGACCCCAAACTGAGAGCGATAATCGTATGTCCTCTCTACCATACGTATTACGTCGGGTTTAACGTAAATAAGTGTCATGTTTATAAATATACGGGACGCGGACACAAAGGCCCTGTATCATTGACGGCACAACGCAGATCATCTGTCTACCGCAACAAATGCAAGCCAGTCATTTACCTACCAAAGAAGAATGGAAATACAAATTGTGGATACGACCATATAGAAATTAGTTCGCATCTGCACAATGCGCAACTACAACTTAATGCCGCAATCGTTAATGATATTCTCAAAAGTTCTCGAAATGTTCTGCATCTGTACAGAATGGGCGTAATTGGAGTGCTTTTACAGGAAAAAAAAGTCTAAACTAGATAGAGCAAAATCAATATTTAAGAACTACAGTGTGTCCAAGATAAGGATGTCTATCGTGGCGATATTACAAACTATAAAAGATACGAAGATGGTTAATTTAGAACAAATTTCAAGAGATTTTTAAAAAAAAATAAAGTTCACTTTCCCGTTGCCACCTTTTGAGCTTTACAAGATATCGTTGAGACATTTTAAGTAAGACGTTTCACATATGGTCCGTGACAAAAGTACGGCATGCATTAAATAGCATTTTTTATTACAAATACAACGATGTTCGACACGATATGATTCGGCATTACTTAAATCACAAAAATGTGGTTTTCACTGTTTTGGTGGAGTAAGCGCTGATATAATAAGTAAAAAAAACAAGAATGCTTTCGAAAAATCGTCACTGGGTGGGGCGAGTTCGTAGCGCGTAGCGCGAAGCAGCTTTTTATTTTAAAAGGAAAGACCTTCGCGGTTTCGTGTGGTAAAGGGACGCATTGTTTATATATCGTGCTCCTACGGACCATTATGGAACTTTCGGAAAATCGATGTAATTTAATTGTGCATGCACCCTGTATAAAATGTCCTTCACATCTCGTCGAACTTCAAAAAACTAAAATTTGCACAAATAATAGCGTTGCCGAATGATATTTTTTCAAATATCTCGCGCCCCGTATAATTGACGAAACCTGAAATTCTCTCGCGACACGCTTTACGATAATGTTCAAATAAAATTATCCCATCTTTAACCGTTTTTCATCTATCGCCAATAATTTACCCACAAAAACAGAAATTTTTAGGATATTTTAGATTTTTTGCCCATAAATAGGACAAGCGAGACTCATACAAAAAAAAACTATTTGAACTTCAAAACTTCAAAGCACATCGCATGTTTCCTCGCAGTTTTTTACATTACTCGATAATGTTATTATTAACTTTTAATGTCTTCAAAAAACGTTAATTATATAACGAAAAACAACTTTGTAATGTTTGTATCATTTAAACTTGCAATCACAACTAACTCAAAATTTTAAAATGCGCGGGTTATTTAATCGGTACCAAAAAAATAAGAAAAGAATATAGAAAACAGCATCCGACATACAACCCAACGGTTGCATGACAGCCAAACGTCAACGGTATAAACAATTCGAACCACACTACACCTCAGAAACTCCCCCAAAAACACGCTTCCTAGACGCATCTTAATCGATTCAATCGCATCACAACAAAAATCACGCGTCTTCTTTGTCCACCGTTTCGATCATTTTTCCTAGATTGGGAATTTTACATTTTTAGACACCCTTTACTGCTCGGTTATGCATAAACTTATCGAAGAGGTGATGGGACTGGCGTAGTCAATTTTATTCTCAAACTCATAATTTTTTATATATAAACTAAATTTATAGGTGTATTTTTTACCTGTTCTTTGATAATTGTAAAAATATTTTTAAAAATACGTAACACTCTTTCAAATAAATAGCAAATATCTTTAATTTTACATTTTTTAAGAAGATGCCATGAAAAATACTGATAATTTTTAGAAAAATTACAGAATTTATCAAAACAAGTTAATTGCATGCAAAAAAACAGGATTGATAATTGGCAATACAAGCAATACCCTACAATTTTTCATAGTAATCATATATTGGGGTAACAAAAGCCATAGGAGAAGGAAGAGGGGAAAGAAACTAAAATAATAATGACGACATGTCAAGACCGTTTGACAATTAAAGCATGTTAGGAAACCGTACATATATTTACCGTGGCCTGCTCACAAAAAAAATAAAATTACAAAATACTTGCTTTGTATTTAGAAAGCCCCTTGACATGCTACGTATCATTGAAAATCTCATAACGAGCCGGATAAAATTATTAAAAGATACATTGAAGAAAACACAAGTTTAGTTCGTATATCAAATCGCATCGCAATTTTTTTATTTTTATATGGAACACTCTATATATTTTCTATTTTGACGAAATATCCGTTTCTCCCCATTTCAGAAATATATAGACTGTTGATATTTGCATAAGCTGTTCATGAATTATTTAAGTTAAGTTTAAGACTGAGTACAAAGTACTGAAGAGTACTGAAACATTTATAAAGTCACTCTGTATCTACAAATCCAAGTTAGATATGACATTTTTATTTGTGCCACTTTTGATTTCATAAAAAAAACAGCTTTGGGCAACACGCAACACGAGATAAGCCGTAAAACCATCCAAAATAGGACACAATAAACGATTTGAACTTCAAAACTTCAAAGTACATCACATGTTTTCTTGCAGTTTATTACATTGATCTATAATGTTATTTATTAACTTCTAATGTCTTCAAAAAATATCAATTGAATAAGGAAAAAAAAGCTTTGTATTGTTGGTATGATTTAAACCTGCAATCACAATCTCAAGTAGAAAAATAAGTAAAGAATATAGAAAAAGTCACCCGGCATTCGGCATTTACCAACCCAAAGGTTGTATGATAGCCAAAACGTCAATGGTACAAACAATTCGAACCAAACTACACCTCAGAAACTCACCCCAACAACACGCTTCCTAGACGCATCTTGATCGATTCAATCGCATCACAACAAAAACCACGCGTCTTCCTTGTCCACCGTTTCCATTTTTTTTTTCTAAATCCGCTCAACCCCTTTCACGACATTCCCGATAAATTGCGAGCTATCATTCGGTCCTACGTCATCGATCGCGCCCGCAAAACAAAATTCGAATATACGAAATTTCGCGCGCGTTTTTCGTAAACAAAAAAAAACACGCGCACTGTCTCCCGTATAATTTCGTATTTCCTCCGCGAAGAGCGGCAAACGACTAATAAAACGGCGATAGGCGGCCGGCCCGCCGCCGCGATGCTCGTTTGTCCAATAGAAAATTTTCGGAGCCTTCTTATTGCTCGCGTGGCGGCGGCGCGGCGGCGGCGGATTTTCGGCGCGGTTTTTTCATCTAATCTAGAGTTTTCGTCTTTTTCTTTTCTTCAAAATTTAAAATTAACGCTTAAAAGAAAAAATTCTTAATAAAAATTAAAAAAAAAAAACTAAAATTGTAATGAACATTGCGATAACACACAACTGTTACCTCGGAAACGAGTAGGTGTTTTGTTATTTTTTAAATTTTGTTTAAAAAGTTAAATTTTCATTTTAAAATACAGTGTGTCCAAGATAACGATGTATATCATAACGTGCTGTTGAGGACACTAAAAAATCCCCATCATTTTCGAAAGTACGCAAAACAAAAAAGAAAGTTTGCGCTTTCGTTGCTTTTTTTTCTGTTGTTATTTAAAAAGATATTAAGAATAACGGTCATTCTGTCGTTTCCACTTTTGACAAAACTATACCATGTATTAAATAGTATTTTTTATTGCGAACGCAACGATGTACGACACAATATGATTCTACATTAGACAAACTACTGTATACTTAATTCCCAAACACAAGTGATGAATTGTAATTGTCGAATTTAAAACACTTCTTAACATATCAGTCGTAATGTTTGGAATACTTCAGTCTTCTCAGTTGACCTCAGTCTCAAAAACTCGTTGGTAATAGTATATTATACAAGTGTGGTAAACGGCATTTAAGTGGCTAGTTTATTTTGCACTAGCAAAGCGCAGCGGTGCGAGTGTTTAAAAAAAATCTACTCCCGTCTGTAAAACACCAATCTAACATGCCACGTCAGTTTCGTTTCCCACGAATCCGAGGTACTTCGGACATTTCCGGAATTTTACCGCACGGGTTTGAGAGCAATCGGTTGTTTTCGGATATATTTCCCACGCGTATTGGTGTTGTTTTGCGAAAATGTACCCAAAAACTAACGGTCGTAGAAAAAGTATAGTATGGAACACTTTCGGTAAACTTTTTAACTCACTCGTTTATTAAACACTGGCTCCGCTCCTATCAAATAAACTCTAATATACTATTACCGAACGTGTTGTACTCTATACTTTTTCTACTGAAGTTAGTCAAAGATCGAAAATCAAACAAATATTAAAATTCAAGCACTGCGGTAATATCTCCGAAAACATCCGATTGCTCCCAAACCCGTAAAGTGACGCTTTCCGCACGATAGTGTATTATGCAACAAGTGCGGTAAATGGTATTTGATTCACGAACGTGTTACATACTATACTTTTTCTACGGCCGTTAGTCTTTGGGTACACTTTCGCAAAACAACACGAATACGTTCTTTGACATGACCGTCAGAATTGACAAACGTCAAAATTCAAAATGTGGGAGATATCTCCGAAAACATCCGATTTCTCCCAAATCCGCGCATCCAGACCCGGGTAAATCAGGATAAAATACGGGTAAAATCCCGGAAATGTCCGAAGTGGCTCGGATTCATAGGAAACGAAACTGACGTGGTAAAGTGACGCTGCCTGCACGCTAGATCAGTGGGTAATTAGGTATTTTACAGACGGGAGTAGAAAAAAATTACCAAACGTCTTGTATACTTCGTCTACGCCAGTTAGTTTTTGAGTACATTTTTGCAAAACAACACTATCACATTCGCTGACATGACCGTCAGAATTGACAAACGTCAAAATCCAAGCCGTGCGGTAAAATCTCGGAAAACATCCAATTGCTCCGAAAGAGTCACTTTACGGGTTTGGGAGCAATCGGAGATATTATATTATTAGATAAAAATATCGAGGAGAGTGAAGTCCAGCGAACGAGGAGGCTACAAAACTAGTAATTAAATTTAAAAAATTAAATTACGTTGTCGTTCGAAAAATCTTAACCCACAACGATGTTGATATCTAGATATTTGGTGTACTTTTATTATTTGTTCCCATACTTTCGTCCAACCAAATAATCTTCGGCACTTCCGATATACCATCGTAAAATATTCTTCGCCTATCTTCGCTAGGTCTGACAAATTTTTAATTTCAACTGGTGAAATTTTTGTTTCCTCAAAATAAAATGAGCAGCAATTTCTCGATTAAAGATGTACGTTCTGTTTTTCTGACAGATGTTTCCGGATTTTCAGTAATAGTAATTTTTTTTCATTGTGGGATTTATTTCTGGATAAGATTGGTTTCATAAACGCACCGTACTACTTAAGATTTGTAGATAATCTTCCAAAATTTTTTGGATTCTTTAGGTAGTTATTTAAATATATACTTTAAAGGTGCTATTATAGCATGGGATATAATACTGTAGCATATCGAACTCAGATGAAAAAGCTTATTCCATTTTGAATAGCAAAAAGGAACCAACTGTCAAAAGAAGCAACAACAACGTTAAAAAACGCCATTTATAGTACGTCTCAATCTTCATCGTGCTGACTTTTGCCCACAATTATGGAAGTTACCTGCCGATAATCCATTTTTAAAATAAATAAATAAAAAATACCAAATAACTCATTTTGTAAGTCTCTTTCGCAATCATTTTCAGTAAAATGAACTGAGCAGAAATAGCTTTTATCTGGATTAAGTTTGTCCTCTCTTCTACATCGAACTATCCACTCTTTCTGAATAGTTCAGGATACTAGATCTTTCCCTTTTTCATCAAAATAGTTGTTATTGCACCCATACTTAGCACATGTCGTTCCAGGCATACCTAACTATTTTTTGATGTGACTTATTCCAGTGAAAAAGGAAAAAGAAATGTATTTCTTTCCTTTACTTATATTATTATGTGTAATAGTTTGAGCTAACCTCCTAACTAATAACACCGCTAATAAGCAGCACGAACACAAAACTTTTAAGTCTTTGCTTAAGGTTAAAAATACTGTTTTTTTTTTTCAGTTCTCGCCACTCAAGCAAATACAATTTTAAAGTATTTGTTAAAGCTTAAAAACTCTGTTTTGTCCAAGTTTTTTTTACTAGTTTAAATTATTTTAATTATTCAGAGAACACAAAATACAACGGTTTAGTACGCCTTCAAATACATTGACAGAATACGCAAAAAGCGTTAGAGGACTTCGCTTACGTCACAAGCGACCACGTGCGATCGATAATTTTGGCGAACGTGTGTCTTATGGGATTGGGCAATCCTATTAGGTTTACGATTCTTGGATATAATCTTCTTAAATTACACTAGAAAAACCAATGGCATTAAATATATACAATAAATTCATAGCTAGGTATATTTATACATAATTACATTTTTATTATAAATATCTAAATCTAATTCAGTTTCACTTTCAGAGTCGTCATTGAGATTAATTATTTAAATTTTTCCAGCTTTCAATTGCTATGTTATTAATTACATTTTCATTAAATTTATAACACTGGGGCGAAAAGTAAGAGTAACATTTTCTGTTCTAACTTTTGATTTGAATTAGTTCCACAAATTCTCTATAGAGTTAAACATGCACTGATATGGAATAAATTCAGGGAAATTATATCATACATACTGTTATTTTTGCGCTTTTATGTAAAAGATTGTTTTAAAAACAATTTTCAAAAAGTTCGGCACTTGTATCATCACAATGCAAACTACAATCATTAATATTCTTTGTAGACAACAGCAAGCAGTTTGGGACAAACCTGTCTTCGGACCCAGCATGTATTATGGTGATGCGTTTTCCTTTATTTAAAGGTGGTTTCGTCTGACAGCTTTGAGTGGAATCAACCCATCCTTGGGATACAGTGTCATGTGTATCGAACCATGTTTCATCAAGGTAAATGACGAATCTGTTATCTAATCTATTTCTTGAAGGTAATTAATAATTGGCTTTTGTCTATTTTGCTTCACTTAAATCTCATCTTACAATTGCCTCTACTGAGGGTGGCACCGTTTCTATTTATATTGTTTTTCGTATTGATATAGACAATAATATTTACCTTCTTGTTTCTTTGCGAAAAATCGAGGAAATCCAATTTTTCGAATATATGTGCGCTAGTAAATTTTTTCAAGATCTCCGTAACGGTAGGTGCGCCGTTAGTATCAACGTCACGGGTTTTAATTCAATAACACTCGAGCCGTTTGAACTAGGTGGCTCAATTTTTGCTCATTTTTTACAGTCCGCTAGGTGCACAAGATGTTTGAAAATGCGCGATCTCTACAAGGATTTCGATTGCGTTGCTCATGAATAGACAACGAAAAAGTTTTTTCGGTACCGAGAAAATTTTGGAATTGAAAGAAGCAGAAGATTCGACTCTATAAACTTTTATTCTTGACAATTTTTTGAAAATGTACCGGGTGCGCCGCAAATTCAAAAAAACTGAAAAATGTATCCCCCTATTATTGAAAATAACTGAAAGACAGTGCTCCGGATATAAGTTCGTTTTACATGGCGATATAGCCATCATAAACAGCTAAAACTTTTGTATTTAAGGTTTTCACCTGTTGTACAGGCTGCTCAAGATGTTAAGTGCTATATTCAAAAATGAACAGGTGTCTTAAATTTACAGCTATCAACTTCAGATTTGGCAGAAGGGTAGAAGTCCACACCAGCATTTAATGTATTGAAAAAGCACTTCCCCAAATCTCGCATATTTTTAGAAAATTTTTGAAAATTTTTTTTGATATATTTTGACTTGCAGAAAAAGATTATTTTCTCGAAAAACTTTTAACCCGATCGGGTGATCGGTGTGAAGCAGGAAATGCGGGAGATTGGGGGACCATTTTGTGAAAATTTGTGAAAAATATGGCCAACTGGTTTAAACCGTATTATAGGCCACATCGAGAGCTACAATTTTTGTATTTACGGTTTTCGTCTATCACATGCGCTGAAAATCACCGTCAATCTAGTTATTTTTTGAGAAAACCACTTACTCTATTGGAAAAAATCATGTGCCAGGAAAAATGGGAGATCCAGGGCTATAACCTCTATTTCGAACATTGTTTGAATT